TGTTGGGTCTTTGTTGCTGCGTGCGGGCTTTCTCTAGTTGCGGCGAGCGGGGGCTGCCCTTCGTTGCAGTGTGCAGGCTTCTCATTGCGGTGGCTTCTCTTGTTGCGGAGCACGGGCTCTAGGTGCGTGGGCTTCAGTAGTTGTGGCACATGGGCTCAGTAGTTGTGGCTCACGGGCTCTACAGGGCAGGCTCAGTAGTTGTGGCACACAGGCTTAGTTGCTCCGCGGCATGTGGGATCTTCCTGGGCCAGGGCTCAAACCCGTGTTCCCTGCACTGGTAGGCGGATTCTTAACCACTGCGCCCCCGGGGAAGCCCGCCATCACCTCTTTTTATGCTCATCTAGTTAAGCTTCTAAAACATGGACACGTTTGCCAGGACAACTCTTTTAATGATTAGCAGCCAGTAATGCAAGGGTGTGACAATTCACAGCAGTGTCCCCAACCATTAAAGCAGGTGCTGGCAGAAGCATCAAGGTACCTGTGCTGGTGTGGGTTAGCTGACCGCCAAGCCTGCATGTGCAGATGTCCAAGGCTTAGCACACACCCGATGCCCACAGACATTCAAAAGCATTTGAGAAGTGAGCAACTAAGGAATGAGCGAAAGGCCTGGACTCACAGAGAAAGGCTTACTGGAGTAGAAAGTTCATCAGACTTGGGCAGAGACTGAAACCAAGCAGGACCCTGTGGGGCTCCTAGGCACAGAAGCCTTTCTGTGTCCCCCCCTCCCACCCCCAGCCCCGTTCCTTGTTTGTAGGGAACGGACCGCAGCTTCCATGACCTTCCCTGGGTCCCAAAGGGCAGATTCAACCATTTGCTAATCAGAGAAGGGAGGGAACCTAAAGACAAGGGAGGATCAGCCAGGAAACAACAGTGCAGCCTTGGGACAGGTCCTGGTGCACCTCAAGGAATACACAGAACGATATCTTTTGAGCTCTGTTTGTTTTTTTTTTTTTTTGCGGTAGGCGGGCCTCTCACTGCTGTGGCCTCTCCCGTCGCAGAGCACAGGCTCCGGACGTGCAGGCTCAGCGACCATGGCTCACGGGCCCAGCCGCTCTGCGGCATGTGGGATCTTCCTGGACCGGGGCACGAACCCGTGTCCCCTGCAACGGCAGGCGAATTCCCAACCACTGCGCCACCAGGGAAGCCCTTTTGAGCTCTTTATAGAACTAAAACCCCCAATAAATAGAAGATGTCAGCATTCTTCATTCTAGAGAAGAGACCACCTGAGGCCAGATTAAAAGGAACCAGAGAAGCTCATCTAGAAGATCACCTGGGGCTTCCCTGGTGGCGCAGTGGTTGGGAGTCCGCCTGCTGGTGCAGGGGACACGGGTTCGTGCTCTGATCCGGGAGGGTCCCACATGCCGCGGAGCGGCTGGGCCCGTGAGCCATGGCCGCTGGGCCTGCGCGTCCGGAGCCTGTGCTCT